CCCTGTTCAGCCATGGAAACCCAATCAGTGACCTTGGAGAAGTCACACAATTTCAGCCCCAGAAGGCAAAGGCAAACCCCCTCTGAACAAATCTGGCAAAGAAAACCCTGTGATAAGAGTACCTTAGAGCAGGCACCTTAGAGCAGGGTAGGCAACCTTTTTGAGCCACGGGCTGGGTTGCTGTCCCTCAAACAATTGGGGGGCTGAAGCACCAATAAATAAATAAATAAATAAAAATGTTTTTTTAAAAAAAATTTAAAAAATGCATGCACACTCTCTCAGCCCCAGAAAAGCCATGGCAAAACCCCTGTGGAGATTTTGCCAAGAAAACCCCAAGAATAAGTAATAACAACAATATTCAATATCATCATGACGGGCGGTGGTGGTGATGGGAGGCGGCAGGACCGGCCTGGGGTTGGTCCAAAGGCCTCGGAGAGCCGCATCCAGCCCCCGGGCCTTAGGTTGCCTACCCCTGCCTTAGAGTCATCGTAAGTTGGAAACAACTTGAAGGCACACAACAACACGCATTAGAAACTCTTAAGAGGTTAACATTTGCTTAGGTTAGCAATGCCCGCTGTCTAGAAGCCAACATACTAGTATGCCAGTATTGTTGTTCTCCAGAAACAACTGTTCAAAAATAAATAAATAAGCTTTTAGAATGCCACCATGTCTAGATCCAAAATTAGCACACCTTGTCATTAATATAGGCTTCTAAATTACCATTTCTGTGGAAAGAACTGCACCTTGGTGACCAGGATGAAAATTCTACATATGAAAGAATTATTTTTCAAGTTGTTGATGTGTCACGAACATAGCCATCAAGGGAGTGGGCTAGTAACTTTTTGCACATGTTTGTAAAGAGATGATGAATACACATTATGCAATAGGGGGAGGGAAAGGCATTTAATAGATATGGCAACATATTGCAGCTTTTTCACTCAGAAAGAAAATAAGTAATTTCTTTTTAAAATGTCACTCTTAATTTTAATCAGAATTTCAAATTCCTGACACAGGCTGTTGATTTCGTATGCTCTTGGAAAACTGTAAAAGTGCTTTATAGCAGTCAAAGGTTATTATATAAAATGTTGACAGTACCTCTCTACTGCAAAGGTTCCTCATTACAGGCTTTCAGCTATACCAAGGTCTATTAAAATGAGGGCAGAGGTCATAAGGACAAATCCTGGTTTGAATTGTAGCTTTCCAGTCTGGATATCATGGGAAACTGCCTTAAGAAGTGAGGACATCTACACCAGAATTAGTACATGAGACAAGAAGGTGAGGAAAATGACATTCACTGCTTGTTTCCCAAGTCCAATATGCCAGGCTGAAACCTCATTTTGTTAGCTCATTCCTAAGACCCAGGGAAAGGTTTTTGTAATCAAAAAAGATCATTATGCTAGGGATCTACAAATATTTACCTTTTCTGTAACTGGGAAGAGGAGGAGGATAGCGCAAACAGGTCTTGGCACCATGCTAAGTAGCTCTGGATCCATACCATACACATCTACGAACTGCCAGCTGGGATGTATCCCCAGCTGTTTGAGAAACTAGTTCAAAAAAGAAATATCTGTCATTAAATGCATCCTTCACTTTTATGGACTATAGGAAAACTGCATAAGCAGTTTGCAACTGGAAATGGAAATCTGATATTTGTTATTAAAAAGCAAGTATTACATAAGACATACGCAGGATCTACGCTTCACACACTACTTAGGACATGGGAAGCAGGAGCAACAACACTCAACACAAACCATATAGGCATTTAATTTATATCCCACCTTACTCCCAAGTATGGGACACAAGAGTATTAAAAGAAGGTACAGATAGAAACACGGAGAGCTACAATATTAAGACATAATTTATTGTATTAAAAACGCAAAGGCACACAAAGTGAGAACACACGTTCTTTCTTATGTGCAACCTCATAGCAAAATACCTATGCATAATAGCTGTCTGGCCAAAAGCCTTCCTTTGGAACCAAGGAGAGGTTCTTGGGGGGTTTGGCAAGCCTTTCTGCTGTGCATGGCAACAGCAGAGAGGATTGTGTCAAGGGTTAACCCTCTCCTTTCTGTGACAATGCTTCAGTCCTGATGGTATAATTAGGTTTGGAGGAAAAAGGCTTTTCTTTATTCCAATGTAAAGCTTGCTTCATGACTGATGACAGTGCATGGAGTTCTATGGGATGGGGGTTCCCTAAAATTACCAAAAACAATACATATGTGTTTAAATGCCTTCAAGTAACTAGTTGACGTATGGCAACCCCATCAGTTTTGTAGTGTTTGTTTAGGCAAGGAATACTCAGTGGTGGTTCTGCCAATTCCTTCCTCTGAAATATAGCCCACAGCGCAGGCACATAAATGAGAATAACTGCTATACTGATAAGCCTACATTTTCCACAATAATTTCAGTTTAGCCCTTTAATTCTCATCCTGAGCTGCAATTAGGTTCTTAAATGCATGTTAACTTCTTCTGTTCATAGTCATGCCCTTCTACTCATGCGTCTCTCTCCTCACATTCTGTTCTCTCTTAACTGACAGTATAAGACTAAGTTGGGTCAGGGTTTGTTTTTTGTTTCTTGGTTTCATCTTTCTTATAAACTGCTACAAACTACACTGTTATCTCTACATAAACAACTGCTGCATGGAAATCTACATGGAACTCAAAACTAGTCTGCCCAAGAGACTTACAGGAAAGTTCCTTTATGAAGCAAATGTGCTGATGCTAGAAAGAACCATTTCATCATTGTCTGAACAGCAGTCAACTCTTTCCGTTTTTGGCTTCTCTGGGATAGTTTTGAGCAATGCCTTTCTAATCCATGCACATTACATAAAGATAACCATCTCACAAAAAATAATTATTCCTCATTAATGTATTTAGCTAAATACAAATGAAATTCTTTATCTCAGCTTCTTTAGGGACAGTACAGTCCATTTTCACAGACTCCAAATCCACATCCCACACCTATCCGCAGGTGGTAAACAGAGGGGACATAATGGGGTGCATGCCCACAGTGCGCAATCGCACACACTCATGGGCATGCTCTGCCATTCAATCCCCTGCAAAAACGGAGGGCCAACTGTATTCTCAAATGTCATGATCTTGGTGACTCTATACCAGGGTGGAAATCCTTCTAGTCATTGCTGAAATGCAACTCAGTAGCTCTAGTCATCATAGCCTATGGTGAAGAATGCTTGGAGTTGCAATTCACATCATTCTTACCTTTTCCCAATACCTATTATCCAGCTTTCTCTATTCTGATGTCCAGGGACATACTGAGATACTCTAATTCATATCAATCATACCCATATGGTAAATGCATAGGTATAATGGATGCTTCAGTCGAATACATCTGGAGGACACCAGGTTGTGGAAGGCTAATTTAGAAGTTAGTTAACTAGGAGCTTCCCCCACTGAAGTATGGGACAAAATAAACTCTTGATGAAAAAAGTGTGCTCTATATAATTAATAAATGAAGCATTCTAAGTGTTGCCATATATTTTTTAAAGCTTACTCCTCACCCTCATTCCTTGTGCACACACGTCAGAATTAATCTTCCCACATCAACTCCACCATCTTTTAATTGCTGTCCCTCACTACAAAACTGAGGTATTGCCTAAGCATTACGGAAGCACATTTCCCAGTGTCACTTAAAACTGGTCATACAGGACACAATGAGAAGTCTTATAGGTATGACCGATTACAGAAATGGCATGATACTATCTAGATAGCTTACATATGTAGAGGAAAAAATGGGATGAAATATGCTAAAGGGAATTATGGGCAGAGATTATGAAGTTAGAGCAAGCGAAAGTAAGGCATACTGAATCAATAAGGTTTGACAGCAAGCAGAGAAAATTACACAAAATAACAATTTTAAAGCAATAACCACCAAAATTAAAGTGATAAATATTTAGACACTTTACTAATGCTATAAATTTATAAAGATATACAATTGTTGTAAACAGGACTTCAGGTAAACATGCTGACCCATGTACCCATAACTAAAGGTAAAGGTATTCCCCACTGACAAGGTTGTCAAGTTGTGGCCAAGGTAGGGGGCCGTGCTTATCTCCATTACTAAGCCAAAGAGCCAGAGTTGTCAGAGACTACTCTGTGATATGTGGCCAGCATGACTGCACAGAACACTGTTTACCTTCCCACTGAGAAGTTGTACCTATTTATCTACTTGCATTCCCATGCTTTCGAACTGCTAGGTTGGCAGAAGCTGGGACTAGTGACAGCAGCTCACCCCATCATGCAGCACCCAGGCCTTGAACTGCCAACCTGCCAATCTTGCAATAAACAGAGCCAACGTCTTAACCACTTGAGCCACTGCATCCCATAACTAGCCTGATCATACTTCATATATTATTAATTCAGCTTCAAGAGAAGAGGACCTTCATTCACAAACCATCTCATTTTAACACATAAAGGTCCTGATTTATTAGAGTAATGGCCTTTGCAGACTGCCAGAAATAGTGCAGATTGAGTCCACTTTAACTGCCCTGGCTCAGTGCTAGGGGATCATAGGAACTGTAGTTAATTGTGGCACCAGAGCTCTCTGACAGAGAAGGCTCAACGTCTCAGAAAAAAATACAATTCCCATGATTCCCTAGCACTGAGCCAGGACAGTTAAAGTGGACTCAATTTGCACTATTTCTAGCAGTCTGTTTGGTTTCAGAAAATCTAATGATACTCTTTAGTCTAGAACACCTTACATTCTAACTATAAAAGTTGCCACATATTAGGCTTCCACAACCTGAGGCCTTCCAGGGTATTTTAGATGAACTCCCATCACTCCCAGCCAATGCTTGTTAAGGTAGAAGGCAGCAGGAAAAGAGGAAGAACACATTCCAGATGGATGGACTCATAGACAGGGCTGCTGAAGAAAAGAGAACCTGGAGGTCTCTCATTCATAGGGTCGTAACAACAACAAAGTGAAAGGACCCTAAAACATGGATTGAGTCATCAGCTTGCATGGGCTATAGCCTATTTGAAGAGACAGTGTGGCGTAGTGGCTTGAGTGTTGGACTATGAACCTGGAGACCGGGGTCTGAATCCCTGCTCAGCCATGGAAACCCACTTAGTGACCCTGGGCAAGTCACATTCTCTCAGCCTCAGAGGAACGTAATGCCTAACCTCTTCTGAAGAAACTTGTCAGGAAAATCCAATTATAGGTTCGGCACACAACAACAGCCAGCTTGAGCAGATACCTCAGTAGGGAGATAAGAGACACAGAATAGACATGATATATGTGCATGCATGCATTAATACAGAGCAAGTGCATGCATGTCTTAACACAGAACAAAGGTGGGAAATGTGTACCTTGCTGTTGATTATACAAATGACAGTTTCTTGGAGATGCATCCCAGAAACATCTGGGGGGGCACCCTATTTCCCTTGTTCCCACTATAATACAGCAGAAAAGTTATTAAGAGAAGACTCAGAAGCTCACAGAGAAGAAGAGGGGCCCTGATCTGACTGACAGGTAATAACAGGTAAGAGCTGCTCACCTGGTTTGTGACCTGAAAAACAAGAACACACACAAAGAAAATGTTAAAGCTCCAGGTCCTTCTCAGAACCAAAGCCCTTAAAGACGAGTCCTCTCAGGTTCCCCCACCAACACCCTACTACACCCACCCACCCGCCTCCCACCACCCCATTCAGCAACACGTCACTACCAAGCCTCCTATTATTATTATTATTATTATTATTATTATTATAAAACCCTGACTCCACCAGCATCATCACCATATAACATTCAACCATAGAACAATTTACAATATTTACAATTCCTCAACCCCCTCCCCATAACAAATAAATACTATATAAATTAATAAGCATAACATTATAATAAATAACAAATATCTTCTTCAAAGTCCAGCTGAATTGTATCTGTTTCTTCCATTTGAAACTTTTTACGCCACATTTCCCTTCTCTCTGAAGTAGCAACTATTCCTCTTATATGTAAGATGTATGCCATTCTTTGATATGGTTTTCACAATGTTACTCCTGATATCAATCCTTCCTATCCATTTTGCTTTAAATACAAGTACTGTATTTGCTTTAAACATACTGTATTTAAATTGTACTGTATTCCGATTTAAATGTACTGTATTTAAATTGTACTGTATTCTGCCAGCATTCTTTAGTTTATGTGTTTGTATTATTATTGTTATGTACAGTATTTATATCTTGAACCTGTCTTTTTGGTTTTAGAACTGTCTCTTTATATCTTTAACTGTCTCTTTGGTTTTAAACTGTCTCTTGATATCCTGAACCTGTCTTGTTGGTTTTAGAACTGTCTTTTTGGTTTTAGAACTGTCTCCTTCTATCTTGAACCTGTCT